CGACTTCCCATCCCACACTTGGAAATCAGAAAATTCGTGCGTTTCTTAGTCACACGACTGGCCAACTACGACCCACGAATTGTTTCAAGTCAAGTCGTAAAGAGTAACTGGACTCACGAAAACGCTGGATATCCCCCCCCCCTTTTCTGGAAGCGAAAGGGTTTCGAATTCCAACACGGAACATTCAGAGGGTGGAACAAGTTAGGAAATGCACGCACGTCAGAATATGAATTTCTACCTTTACGAATGGCACCGAGTGTTCTGGGATCAGCGAGCGACCTTAGACCCCGACGCTCATGCCAGAAGAACCCGAATCTGGTCTCCCTCCTAGACGAGAGTTCGGCAGGCTATGTAGTCAAACGGATGTCTCCTTGCAAGAGCCCTACGACTTGACTCGCCCGAATATCGGGCTGACAGAGAGACCGAATTTAATAGTTTTTAGCTACTTCATCAAAAAGCGAAGAGAAAAACGAGAAAATTCTAATTCGTTTGCTGCAAGAATCGGCTGGTGACGCACCGACGGGAAGATATGCGTTCTGTCGCCGACGAAGGGAGTGACGTCAAGACAGACAGAGCGGCTACCTGCGCTCGAGATTCAGATTAAAACTGAAATGACTTGACAGTTTGACGCAAAACTGTTTCGGCCGTCACATCGGAAAGGCGACACAGCGCAGATGCTTTCGCCGAACTTCGCCTTCATCAGTCACAAAGGCCGAAGTTTACGGTGCAGTTAATACGTCGATAATGCAGCACGCAGCTTGAACACGACGACAGATCAAAGGACACAGCAAGCAGCAACGCGTCATGCAGTGCGTCGTGCAATGTAATGCACATCGCAGTCTTCGTCAAAGTCTGGAAGGCTTCGTCTTACTCCCCGAAAAGCATTAAGCTACGAGGCACAGATAAATCGACAAGATGAGCATGGGACAAAAGCAGACACGAACCAAAGATAAGTAGGGCCCTCCTTTCCTGAAATCCCTATAATTTTTCACCCGCAATTTTCTGTACAAAGAATTCCAATGATACAATGGGATTGCTCGTTTATTATGACCATCGTCCTCACTACGTAACGGAGTAGCCACGTACATATGTCGATCTTGCACTGTGACACCGGCCACGTTCCCCTAGCAACAAAACCAGAATGTGGACAGAGCTATTTTACGTGCAGCGAGAATGGCATTGGGCTCTAAGCACCACGTCATGCTGCTGTCCCCTAGTTTTCCTCAGGACGGGAGGAGGGGCAGAGTAAAACCAAGTTAAACTCTCATCGAGGGCAACCGAAGTCCTTGTCTGTCTCCACGATAAGAAAATTCCCGACAGGGCGAGCGGTCGCCAGTAAGATCAGCGAAAGTGCCTGCGACGGACAGCACACGACAATTGTAAAACGTCTGAAACAGCTGAGCGACTGCGGGCGCACCATTACACCAGCTGTCCACCACCACCAATCCCTCGTGACGGCGACAGCGAAGTGTCTGTTGGCATCACGGCCTTGGTTCATGATCCACAGCTACGCATTGAAGGCAGTTCCGGAGATTCAAATCTGAAAAAGCCTTTTCAACGCACAGACAGATGGGGTCCCCTACAGGCGTAAATCGTCTCAAGAAGAGAATTCGACGTGTCGACAGAGACAGACACTCGGGTGGTCGAGTTTAGTGGGAACGCGAAGGGAAGACGACGAAACGGAAGATGACCAAGCAAATTGGATGGCAGTGTGTGTGTGTTGTGTTGTGTGTAGGGGACTGCGCCGCAGCGGAGCCGCCGGCATCGATCCAGTCTACAGCCCCTCGGAGGGAGACAGACAGCACTGAAGTGAACTTGGAACAAGCGAGTTTTTATATTAATTTGCCAACTGTGCGGCTTGCGGCTTTGCAAGTCACAATACGGCACTGCGGTTCTTAACCACACGTCTCGACGAAGAACTGTCGTCTGGGTGGCAATTCGAGGGTCGCCTTGTTGCTCCGAGGTCCGCCCACCTCGTCAACACCAAAAGACTGCACCGAATTAACGTTGACGACGAGCAAACGATAATTGATTCGGGATCAAGGTTCTCACTGCGACACTGACTGACTGACCGCCATGATGACGGAGTCAGTAATCTCCTCTGAAACGTCGG